TATTTATATATATCATATTGAGCTCTGAAAATGAGTATCTAACATGGCACACAGGCCTGTTGAGTGTGCCATGGACAAGTGAGATTAATGGTTGTGAAAAATTAGAACGAAAAGCAGTAATTCTAAAAACAATCTAAATTGTTTTTAAAAAATGCTTCCTCAATATTTTTGTGTGGTTCAGAGCATAAACCTGCCATGATACCTGGCATTACACTAATATATTCACTCCTCCAAAATGTTTGCATTAACAGATTTGTGCAATCTGTACCTAAACATTTACTTAATGTATGGATTTGAATTCTAATGCCAGTAGCAGGTTTAACCATGGTTTATGCTCTGAAAATGCAATAATCAAGTAGTTTGGATCATGCTTCACTTATGCTACAAGTTCTTAAAACAATGTAACCTAATTGTAAATGTTTACATAATGCTAACTGACATGCAAAACAGAATGAAAATTTACAATGGGGAACGTGACAAAAACAGACACTTCTGACCAGTGGACCAATGAAGCTGATTACACATTACACTTTCGAAGTTGGTATCCTTAGTCCTACAAGGCCTCCAGTGGGATTGCCTTCTGCAGTCTTCTCTAACACTTGGTTAACAAATTCAGAAGTTTGCCCAGCAACTGGGAGACCTGAAGGGAATAAAAGGTACACTTAAAGCACAGAAATAGAGACCATTTAGAGGAAAGGAAAAGAGTACAAAATATTTAAGGGTCAGGTGTGGCCCTCAGCTCAACATGGGTCCAAAGGAATGCTCTGTTTCTTGCTGCTGCAGCCCAGAAAATCATTCTGCCCCATCAGATTCAAATTAGAGGAATCAAACCAAGATAAACATAGAAGATGGTAATCAACATTTAAAGTGGGCCGGGGATTTAGCTTAGCGGTTCTGTCGCCTGCCTCACAAGTGCAAGGTCCTGAGTTTGATCCCCACTACCAAACAAAACAGAAAAAACAAAACAAGTATTTAAAGTGAGATTAGATGACAAGTAATAAACCTATACCAGAGGTAACACTTTCTAAGCCTACCAATTGTTTTTCCCTGTTCTCTCTGCCAGCCTCTTCTAAATGCTTTAACCTCACATGTTCCATGGGAGGCAGGTGGGTGATTTACCCAAACAGTTAAAACCATATATTCAAAGGACATGTTTAATCAATTTTTAAGTTACTGAATACAATTTATGTTCCTTTTACATTTTCAAGAAAAATTAGTAAGAAGAGGTAGAAGAGAAGTGGGAGAAAAGGTAGGAGCAGCCTAAGTATGATGATTTTCTTTTTTCAAAGGATGGTGATTTTTCTCATCCTCATGCTCTTTTATAGAAAAGCCAATAGTCAAAAAATCAAATAACAAAGATACAGGTTTACAGCCAGATGTACTGGTGCACATCTGTAATCCCAGCACTCAGGAGGCTGAGGCAGGGGATCGTAGTGAGTTTGAAACAGCCTGGAATACGTAGTGAGACCGTCT